GTGGTTCCGCCCGGGATCGAACCGGGGGCCTTCTGCGTGTAAAGCAGACGTGATAACCGCTACACTACGGAACCAGTTGGGGAAAGCGGGGCGCAATAGGGGGCCTACCTTGAGGGGCGCAATGAGGCGCCTCTTGAGCCGCTGCGGGGCGTCCATCCTCGCGCACTCACTCAGCCGTCCAGGACTCACTCGGGCGCAATGCGAATCAATAGAGCGGGCTGCGCCCCCTCAACTCACGCAAGCAGTGGCCACCAGTGGCGACCTAAATGCATCGATCGAGCGGGCCGGTTCATCGATCTGGCGCGACGGCGTGGGCGCGCGCGTGCTGGTTGGGTTGCCTGCGGCGCGCGTTGCTGGTTGCCTGGCGTGACGCAAGCCCATTAGGGGGCTATTTATAAACCAGGCGCGCTTAAACTTAAAAACCCCGAAAACCCTGCGGGCCGCCACCAAGCTGCTTACCTGACGGGGCGTCCGGGGGGCGGCAAAGCACTGCTGCACGTTGCCCATCGCGCACCAAAGGGCGGAAGAGCGACCGGCCGATGCGCCTGATTTGCGTCTGGGTGACACCGCGCCCGACCCATTGACCGCGATGTCGTCACCGCATCGCGCCAAGGCTATTTCAAATAATTGCTGCTGAGCCCTCAGGCAGCCATGTTGGGGCCAGCTGGCAACCGTGCAGGTTGTCATGGTAACGCTGTCACCCACCACTCACAACAGTGGAGCCCCTGCCAGTGCTAGTGGAATGAATTTGGCCTCGTTGTGGTGGTGGTTGGCGTGGTGGCTGCGCCCCCTGGTCAAATGGGTGCTGCGCAGGACCACGGGGCTGTGCGAGCTGCAGCGCATTTGCTATGGCGAGGTGAGTGGGGCGCCCCGTGTCAAGGGGGTGGAGCGTTCGCTGGCGAGCTCGCGCCACCCCCAGCTGCGCCAGTTGGTCGCCCATTTGGACGACGTGGCCGCCCGCCGCTGCTTCACCGGCGCCAACGAGCGCCAGCTCCTGCAACGTGAGTATTGGGACGGCGCAGGGCGCAGCCCCCTTTTAACACTCGGCCCTTTCAGGCGCCGTCAGTGCCGTGCTGGTGGCGAAGCGCATCAACCCCACCGTGCACTGTGGGTTTGTGGCGGCGTTCGGCAAGTGCGTGGAGCAGATTTGGGGCTACCGCCAGTTGGCGGCTGAAGTGGAGCTGTTGCGGCAGACCCCGTTCGATAGCGCTGACGCGTCGCATGAGCGCCGCTTGYTGGACCTGTGGCGCAGCCTGCGCCCCGACGAGCCCCTGCAAGGTAAAGTAGGCTAGTGCTTGAAGTAGTTTRTAAGTTTGGCAAGCCGGCGCGTACTATTGGGGCTTCGCAGGGCGCATCAGCAAGCAGTGGCAGGACATCGGGTTCCAGGGCGACGACCCCAAAACCGACTTCCGCGGCATGGGGTTGTTGGGGCTGGAGAACCTGCTGTTCTTTGCCAGCGAGCATCGCGCCCCCGCCCACCACGTACTCGCCCACTCGATGCACGCCACCGCCGGCTATTGCTTCGCCATCGTGGGCATCAACATCACCCACATGGCCTGGAGCATGCTGCGCGACGGCAGCGCGCAGACCTACTTCTACAACACGTCGAGAAGCCTGCCCACCTTGCGCCTCTTTCACTGCTTCTACAGCTATCTGTTCTATGAGTTCGACCGATTCTGGGCGGAGGCGAAGCCCACCAATATCATGGAGTTTTCCACGGTCAAAGGGCAGTTTGAGCGGCGCGTGCGCGTCGCCCTCTCGGACCCGCGGACGCAGTTCCGGGTCACGCTGGCGGTCCACCATGTGTAGCTGTGGCCAATGTGGCGAATGCGCCCCAAGCGAAATAAAGCCGTTGCGGCCGCGATTTAACTAAGCGGGTTTATTTACAAAAATACCATACAGGTGGAGGATAATAAACAATGCCCCCGGGGGCAGTCTTAACATTAGGCACTGATGGTGTGACTGGGGGCGCGCCGGCTACTCGGCCTTCTTCTCCCAGGTCTGCGACACGAAGCCCCTGGTGCTTCCGTTCGAGTAGCACGCCTTGTACGAGTCGGAGAACTCGCTCTGGATGTAGTTGCTCTTGAGCGAGCCGCCGGCGCTGCGCGCCTCCTGCGCTGCGCCCCCTTCCACCGGCTGGAAATCAATTGGGCGTGAGCTGGTGAGGAAAGTGGGGCTCCACAGCTTACCATACACGCGCCCTGATTGGGGCGCTTCGCCCCCTTGCTGTAGTTCACCTTGTAGAAGTCGGAGAAGAGGAACAGGAACAAGAGGCCGTGGACGGCGATCCAGATCATGAACGACTTCGGGTAGTCGCACTCGGTGAACAGCAGCTGGAACTGGTGGGCGAAGATGGCGACGAACTGGAGCATCTGGAAGGAGGTGAGGTAGCGCTTCCACCACAAGAAGCGCTGGAACTCGGGCCCCATCGCGGACACCATGTAGTAGAAGTACATCACGATGTGCACGAAGGTGTTGAGCAGGGCGAAGAAGGTGCTGTGCCCGCCCGGCGCGAACTTCATCCCCATCCACACGGAGAAGGGCATGCAGCCGTGATGGATCACGTGCAGCGTGGACACGTGGCTGTTCTTCTTGCGCAGAATGAAGAACAGCGTGTCGAAGAACTCGGTGAACTTGGAGATGTAGTACCACCAGCAGGTGCGCGCCATCTACCAATTAAGCGGCGATTAAACGGGCCGGCCATCTGGCGGCCGTTGGACTCACCCGCAGCGCCATGGGGCTGTCCGAGTAGTCGACCGGCTGGCACCGGAAACTGTAGCTGCCCCACCAGCCGCTCATCAAGTACTGGAAACAGTCGGCGATTAGTAAGAGGGCGGGGCGCCGCCACCCCCACTCCCGCTCACCTCATAGAAGATCCAGCCGCTGAACAGCGTCTGGAACAGGTTGTAGACGATGAGCAGCCCCTTGAGGCTGAACGGCTTCCGGTTCTCCATGAGGCGCGGCCCCAACACCCGCGAAAAGTACGCGTAGAACAGACAGATGCCCAGCGTGGGCAACGGGCTGCCCATCATGGGCCAGGCCTGCACCCGCGGATCTGCAACAGGACGCAACTTCAATCACCCGGTATATACGAAAGAGGCCTCGTTGCCCGCCACGGTGCAACCAAAGAAAAAGCGTCGTTACGTTCCTGGCCTTATGCAATCGCCCCCCCATAAGTACCGCTGCTGGTACTTCCTGCATGCCATCACGTCGAGCCGCTCTCACCACTGTGACGAACAAGGCGCCGACCTGATTCGGGGCCGCCAGCCCCCTTTCGCTGTTGCTCGCGTTGGGTGCAAACGGCGTGGCACCGGCTGGCAAGGGCCGTCGCCCCGGGCAACCGCACACAACACCCCCAGCGGGTGCGCGTCGGTTGCACCACGGGCGGCTGTCCGGTCAATGGGGTTTTTACGTAACGGAAGCCGCAGAAGAAAGCGGCCCGCTGGCTGCTGGCTGGTTGGTCAAGCCGTGCTCTGTTGCAACCAACGTACCAAGCCAACCTTGACCGAAATGCCGCCTCTGGTGCTGAGCGAGCGCAAAAAATGCGCCACTCAGGGGGTTCGTGTCGCTGACTGTAAACTCGAAATGAACTGGTTCTAGTTCGAGTTTCCAGCGGCGGCCTTGGCCTGATTGACTCACCGCTCTTGTTGTCCAGCACGTCGTGGTACTTGGCAACCGCACTGGTCACTAGATGGGCCATCGCGGAACCTGCAACAGACAAGGCGATTGGGCACAGTCAGAAAGGGCCGGTTGTCATTGACAACACCCCGATGATGAGCGCTTGGGCACGAAACTTTCGCTTGGTCACKCTGCGGCGGAGCCTTGAGCGGTGCAAACGAGCAAATGCGGTTGTTCTTGACCCAAACTGGGCGCAAAGGGCCCTGACAGCCGACCTAACCTCAACAGGCAGGGCGTGTCAATGTGGGCAAAGCCTAGCGGGGCTCACCTGATCAGCGACCCTAATCGCCCTTATTAAAACAGATTGGGGTTGATTGGGGCGGAAGTCCCGGGGCGGCTGATTTGGGGCAACGGTAACGATCGATCGGGTCAGCCGAGTGGACAGCACAACATTCCCGGGGCCAGTGGCACACGCGATTACAGCAGGAAAGTTTGCGCGTTTTCAGGGCTCCGCTAGCACGCGACAACCGCTCGGACACTTAAACGGGCGCTGATTTCCTGCTCACCGCTCCGTCTGTTGCCTATTTATAGTCGCCCCCCGATGGCCCGCACTACGTCAAAACCGTCACCGTCCTCCCATCCCAAGCGCTGAGTGCGAGCGAGACGCCACCACTAGGGGCGGTCCCATCGACACTCCTCACCTGGTCTAGTGGGCGCGGCCCGTCAACCGTCCTCTAGCTCTTAAATCAATCAAATCAGCCTAATTAATGCGTTTCATTGACGGCGTTTCCAGACTATTTACCTGGTTGACCTGCCTGCAAGGTCAAGGCTTTTTGCGTTAGCATACATTGGCCACAGGGCAAAACTGAACCAGCATGAGTCGATGGTGCCCATAGTGCCCCGCCCCATAGCACCGCGCGGTGTGTGGCAACACTGCCATTGATTGTTTGTTGTTTTTAGTGTTGTCAACCGTTGTCAGGTTCAAGTGGATGAGCCCCTTTAACTGAGTGTTTTGTGGTGGCGCAGCCCCTTGATATGCTAGACGAACAGCTGAAGAACCTCCTGGCCACCACTGCGTCGATTTCCACCGTTCTGCAGTTTCTGTCGGGCACGTAAGTGCGGCTGGGCAAGTTGAATACGGGGGGGTGGAGCCCTGGGGCTTTTGCAGGATCACCTGCCAGCGCATCGTGCGCAACAAGAGCACGGGGGAGATCTCGGCCTTCCCCTTTGTCAGCGGCTGCCTGTCCACCGCGCTGTGGCTGCGCTATGGGTTCCTGATCCAGGACACCTCCATTATTCTGGTGAACACCATCGGGGTCTCCCTGTTCTTTTCCTATGTGCTCGTTCTGTTCCTGTACAGTATTAAAAAGGTAGTTGAGTCATGGCTCTGGGGGTTGAGCAGGGGCGTAATTGGTTTTGTGTGTTTTAGATTCAGGTGCTGCGCCAGTTTCTGCTCAGTCTGGGGCTGTTGGTGGCGGTGCTGATGAAACTGCACCGGATGGAGGACGGGGCGCAAGCCCACCAGTTTCTGGGGTACACCTGCATGGCAGTCACTGTGCTCTTTTTCGCTGCCCCCTTTGCCACCCTGCTGCAGGTGATCAGGAGCAAGAGCACCGACAGCCTGCCCTACCACCTCATAGTGGCCACATTCCTAGTCAGCCTCCAGTGGCTGATCTACGGCCTCATGCTCCAGGACCCCTTTATCCAAGTGAGTGTCTCACATTTTTTTATGAGTTGAAGGTTAAATTGGCGCCTTGCAGGCTCCCAACTTCCTGGGCTGCGTGCTGTCGGGCCTCCAGCTCAGCCTCTTCCTCATCTACCCGGCCAAGGCCCACGGGGCCTCAGTCATTTAATTAGTGTTTAGTAAACGTGGCGAATAAACAGTAATTTTGATGAGGATTGTTTCCGTTTAGCCCCGCCAGCCTCTAGCGGCGTTGCCGCAATGTCCCCCACACTCATGATGTTCGATGACCGATGACAGCCAGTTTGTTTGGCATGGTTATGTTCCAGTCGTGTAGTTGAAGTGGAAGGATAATGGGGGAAGTGGCGCAGCCCCGTTTTGAGAAGTCCCTGGGGCTTCTGACGAGCAAGTTTGTGTCGCTGCTGCAAAAGTCCAAAGGGGGCATTCTGGACCTCAAGGTGGTGAGTGGCGTGAAGGTGGTTTGGGGGGCGCGAGGGCTTAATGTGCGGTTGTTTTGCAGGCTGCCGATATCCTGGAGGTGCGGCAGAAGCGGCGCATTTACGACATTACCAACGTGCTGGAGGGCATCGGGCTGATCGAGAAGAAGAGCAAGAACAGCATCCAGTGGAAGTGAGTGTGGGTGTTGGGGCACTAGAGTGGTTCTACAGGGGTGTTTTAGGCCCTACACGGTGTACAGGCCGGCTAGCAACGCCGAAGATGCCAACAGCGGCGGGTTTACCGAAAAGATCTCCCGGTTGAAGCAGAAACTGGCCAGGCTTGACGAGTACGAGCACGAGCTGGACATGCACAAGATCTGGATCAATCAAAGCATCCGCAACACCACGGAGGGCAACAGCCAGTTTCTCTATCTTACGTTGGAGGATTTTGCTGCCTGCTACGGCCAGCAAGACGCAGTAATAGCGGCCAAGGTCCCGGTAAACGAGACCCGCGTGGCAGTTTCGGTGAGTGCATTTGCTGCCCGTCTGAACTTGGCTAAAATCCCATTGCAGAACAACGAGGGAAGCTTCAGTCTCAAAATCGCAAGCACTGGGCGGCCCATTGACGCCTACCTGGTCTCCGAGCGGGTGCTGGACGGGCGACTGAAAATGCAGCGACGGCCCAGGCCGGCGCCCCACAAGCGCCGCCGCTACACCAACCCTGACCTGGAAACTGCTGCCATCCTGTTCCAAAAGCCGCCGAGGGCGGCGGAGCCTCCTGCCGTTTCTGGGGCTGGCGACGCCTTCCTGCCTCTCAGCCTCCTCGGGGCCGACTATCCATACTCGCTGCTCGAGCATGAAGGGGCCTGCGATTTGTTTGACCTTAACTAAGGGGTTCTGTGATTCTAGCCTGTAAGCATGCTAATGGTAATTTTGAATAAATATTTTTTCGTTATATCCGTCCGAAGGTCCTTGGCGGCAACAGCGCGCCCGCAACGTCAAAGTCCGCGACTTTGACAAACGTTTGACAGTTTGAGGTGTTGTTTAGGCTGCAGAGCAAATGGTGGTTTGTTGTGTAGGTTTCCAGAAGGTTTTCCGGTGATTTATCAGTGATTAAGGGGCCAGAACAGATGAGCAGAATGGAGAAGCTGCCCAACCTAGTGGACGTGTACCAGCCGGCCAAGAAGCTCGGCACGAGACAGCTGCCGCTGGTCGTCGACAGTAACTTAACGGTAAACAAGCGCAGCGGAGCCCTGAGCGCGGTCTAAATCGTGAGTTCCAGCTGGTGATGGACATCAAGAACTCGAACATCATCAGCGACAGCCAAACGCTCAGCAACAAGGAGCTGAACGAGTATATGACGAAGCTGGGCGTGCTCAGCCCCGAACAGCTGAAGGCTTCGCTGCAGATCTCCAAGACGGCGCTGCTCGAAGTGCTCAATCAGAGCGTGCCCTGCGTGGGCTGCCGCCGCAGGTGAGTCCCCACTCGCTGTCTAGTGGTGCCAGTTTTTGACCTGCGGGGTTTTGGGGTAGTGTGGAGGGGCTCTACTACCAGCTGCTGAGCTTCGGCCACCCCACGTTGGACCCCATAGTGGTGAGGGGCGACGGCACCATCACGTTGAGGCCGGAGAAGCATTCGTACAACGTCCTGGCCAACATCTTCCATGATCATGCGTGAGTTGGCCGGTTGAGTCCAAGGGGGGGCTTTGCTCATGGCTTTTTGCAGACAGCGCCTCAAGACGCTGATCGACACGCAGCCGAAGCGCAACAAGAAGAGCGTCCGCTGCCTGCTGCACTCGCTGGACTGGCAGCGGATCCGGCCGGTCACTCCAGTGTGGCGCGACATCTGGAACTGCATGAAGTCGGACTGCCGCAAAGACATCTGCATCATTGAGAGCGCCTGCCTCTACGCCACGCTGGAGAACTACCTGCGGCAGCACCGCTTTTGCGGAGAGTGTCGCATCAAGGTGGTCAAGGGTAGGCTGCGCCCCCGCTTTAACGCTTTAAACCCCGCCCCCGAGCTAACGTGAACGCCCCCCACAGCTTACACATTGTTGGTGGAGGAGGCGGACCCCAGCAAGGAGAAGGGGTACGTGCCGGCGCTCTACTCGGGCATCAAGCGCTGCCTCCAAGACAAACACATCCACCTGAACCCCAAAACCGAGTACATCACCAAGCTGATAAATCGGGCGGAGCCCGAGCTGTTGGGCAGGTAAGCTGGAAAGGGGTGGGGGCGCAGCCCCACCACGAATAGTTCACCTCAAGTCAGCCGTAGGGAGCGGCACGCCAAGACGCTGGAGATTGCGCAGGAGGAGGTGCTCACCTGCCTGGGCATCTGCATGTACGAGCGCCTGAACCGGCTCTACATGCGCGTCAGGTATGCACGCACGCACAGTTGAACCAATCGGGCGGGCGCCTGTAACAGACGGGGGGGGGGCGTGGCTTGCAGGGAGGAGGAGCGCACCTGTCAGCTGTTCGCCGCTGTTGCCGTGCACACGCTGCACCGCAGCTTCGAGACGGTGGTGGAGAAGGCGAGGGGCGTGTCCCAGCTCGAGCTGCTCTACGAGGAGTTTGCGCGCGAAGAGCAGGCCAAGCAGAAGCACAAGGAGGCGAAAAAGAGCAGGCGCAAGCGCCGCAAGGGCAAGGCGCTGTGCGAGAAGGCGCGCTGCGAGTTCGCGCCCGACTGTCTATGCCCCGCCCCCGGCAAGCCGGACGGCGTGTGCGAGTGCTGCAGCGACGACTCGGACAGTCGGGAGGACGCGCTCCTCGACCAATCACGGTGAGTGCTCGGGCGTTGCCCTCAACAGCTGTAATGGTGGTGGTTGTCATGGCTGCAGATGCAGCAGCGACCTCTGGGCGGACGACTGCGACAGCAAGGAGCTCTGCAAATGTGACACAGTCCCTGACAAGTGAGTGAGCGGTGGGGCGCACTGACAGCGTCTTAATCTCGGCTGTTGCAGCCCCAAGGACCCGGACTGCGACTACTCGGCCAATAACAACTGTTGCGAGTCGGCGTCGCTCGACTCCAGCCTGTCCAGCTCGCCAGAGGACTCGGGCCTGGCCTGCTCCGACATTTGCTGTCAGCCTGCGGACTTTGGCAGCCAGTGCCGCTTGACCTGCGGCGCCGGACTGAGTCTGCAGGAGATGCTCGAGGTAAGCCAATCGGCGCGCCACCGCGCATATCTAATCGAGAGGGGGCGCGCAGGGTCCGAGCGAGGACGACGAGGACTGCTACATAACGGCCGAGGAGGTGCGCGAGTTCAAAAGCAAAAGCCGACAAATCTACGAGAAAAGACGCGAGCTGCGCGAGACGCTCCAGAAGCGGTTCGCGCAGTTCTGCCACAATGGGCCGCTCATCGTGCCGCGCCTGCTCGTCCAGACCAAGTACGCCTCGAATTGAGCGCGCGCGCGCAGCCCCAGTTGCTGACGAAAAGGACACAGACGACAAGCGGCCCCCCAGCTATCCGAGTACAGTGGGCGCGCGTGCGCGCCCAACCCCTGTAGTAGTCCACTAAGGCTGCGCCGCCCTTCCAAGGGGGGCGGCGCCCCCCTGCATTCCATATCCAGTTGTTCAATTAATTTAGTCGATTCGGGGCGCCGCTGGATCTCAATATAACTCTATTGATATTATCTACATTTCGATGTCTATTATCTAGTCCGCAACTGTCCCAAGCACAGGCTGGCGTTAGTGCCGCCGAAGCCAAACGCGTTTTTCAGAGCGGTGCGCCCCGCAGGGGCGCCCCACAGCTGCCGCTCGCCCGCCACAAAGTTCAACTGGGGGTCTTCGACGCTGTCCAGGTTGATGGTGGGCGGCAGCACGCCCTCCTCGATCGCCTTCACTGTGAAGACCGCCTCCAGGTTGCCGGCTGCGCCCAGCAGATGGCCGTGCGCCCCCTTGGTGGAGGAGACGGCTGGGCGCRCGCCCAGCAGCCGCTTGATGGCCCTGATTTCGATGGCGTCGCCCATCGGGGTGGAGGTGGCGTGGGCGTTCACGTAGCCGATGTCCTCGGGGCGCAGTTGGGCGTCGAGCAGCGCGCGCTGCATGGCCAGGAAGGCGCCGGTGCCTTCCGGGCTGGGCGCAGTCAGGTGGGCGGCGTCGCCCGACAGGCCGTAGCCCAGCACTTCGGCGTAGATGTGGGCGCCTCGGCGCTGCGCCCTCTCCAGCTCCTCGAGCACCAGAATGGCGCTGCCTTCGCCCATCACGAAGCCGTCGCGGCTTTTGTCGAAGGGGCGCGACGCCCTTTCGGGCGTCTCGTTGAAGCTGGTGCTGAGGGCGCGCAGCCGGCAAAAGGCCGCAATGGCCAGCGGGGAGATGCAGGCCTCGGTGCCCCCGCACACCATCACGTCGGCGCTGTTCGTCTGGATGAAGCGGAACGAGTCGCCGATGGCGTGCGCCCCCGTGGCGCACGCCGTCGACACCGCATGGTTGGGCCCCTGGAACCCGTACTTGATGCTGATCTGGCCTGCGGCCAGATTCGGCAGGATGCGCGGCACGAAAAAGGGGCTCACGTGGTGGTAGCCCCTTTGCAGCGCCTGGAACGTGGCGCACACGTCCTGCAGGTCGATCATCCCCATGCCGACGGCCACGCCAGTGCGCTCCCGCTCCGCTGGCGCCATCGGGAGCAGCCCCGCGTCCTGCAGCGCCTCGGCGGCCGCCAGGAGGGCGTAGCCCGTCGCGGGCGCCATCGATCGGAGCTGGCTCTTGCTGAAGTGCTGCTGCAGCTGGAACTGCTCGCCGTTGGCCTGCACAAAGCCGGCCACCCGGCAGGGCAGCTCGGCGTATTCGGGCCCCTCGAGCTTGCTGAGCCCGCAGCGCCCTGCCGTCACGTTGCTCCAGGCCTCCTGCACTGTGGCCCCCAGGGGGCACAGCGCCCCCAGCCCTGTCACCACTACGCGCCGCATTTCGCCCCCAAACAACAACAACAACCAGAAGATAACCTCACTCGCTCCACCATCATCATCATCATTGGCAACAGCGCCCAGGCGGCTAAGGCTAGGTAATCAGTCTTTATACTGGCAATCGCCATGGTAACCGCGGATGTCCACATTCAGGCGCCATGGTGCGCGCACAGCGCCGCCATCATCAGTTGTTTTAGCCAGCGGATGCAGAGCGGACGTGTGGGAGAGTGCTGCGCATCGAGCTTCGCCCCCCTAAACCAGCCGCATTTCGAGGGCTGTTGCGTCCATCACCAGTGCGAAGAAGCCCCAGTCAGGTGAGTGCAAGTGCGGCCCGGGTGCAGCCCCCCCAGGGCCCCAAATCGAGGGGCCATGTGTGATGCGTGTACCTGGCACGATTGACTCATTTCCTTAATTGACCAATCGCAGGCCTTGAACGCTGCGCGTTCTTGTTGTCAACAGTTGGTTGTTAGGGGAGATCAGTGCACCCGCACTAGGTCACCTGCTGGAATCTGGGTTATTTGTAGGGGATGGGCGAGCGACGCGGTACCAAAGGCCTGGAGCTCTGGTGCCGGAAAATGACCGAAGGCTACGCGGGCGTTCGCGTGGACAACATGACGACGTCGTGGCGCAACGGCTTGGCCTTCTGCGCCCTCATCCACCACTTCAGGCCCGATCTCATGTGAGTTTGACTGTCTGTTTACCCAATTGGGCGCCGACCAGAGCGTAACTCCGGTTGGGTTGCAGCGAGTTCGAGAAGCTGGACAAGGGCGACGTCTACGGCAACAACGAGCTGGCCTTCAGGGTGGCCGAGCACCAGCTGGGGATCCCCGCGCTGCTCGACCCCGAAGACATGGTGGAGTACGAGGTGCCCGACCGGCTCTCCATCCTCACCTACCTGTCGCAGTTCTATCAGTGCTTTGAGGGGCAGCGCGGCAAGGAGCTGGCGCCCAAGCGGCCGGCCACGCCCCCCGAGCCGCCGCCGCCCGCCGGCCCGCCCCCCACCACGGTAAGTCCACGCCCGTCCGCTTAGTGTCCATGTGCAACGCGCTTGCTTGGAGTGAACCGTGTGGGCGGGGCGACGTTGCGCTAGCGACCCGCCGCGCCCGCTGGCCCTTCCACCTAACCTCATTGTTTGTTTGTTGTTCCCGCGGTGTTCGGTGCTTCCCCCCATTTGGTAGGCGGAGGAGGAGGAGGAGCGCTTGGCCATAATGGGGCAGTACAAGCCGGGGATATTTTGCTGAGGTTGAGCGGCGCCCGTGACTGCCATTCAGTGCGGGCGCCCCCAGTGACCTGAGGCGCGTTTCAGGTGCGGACCACGGTGGGGCGGGCGCGCAGGGAGCCGTGCGCCCACTGCGACCTCCCCGTGTTCATCGCGGAGCGGCTCAAAGTCGACGGGCGCGTCTACCATCGCGCCTGCTTTCGCTGCGCCCGCTGCTCCCACCCCCTCTCTCTCGCCAACTACTACCAGACGGAGGGCGGCGAGTTCTGCTGCGAAGTCTGCCCCGATGAGGTGCAGCCCGCGATGGCGCGCCCCCTCAGCGACGAGGAGAAGAGCAGTATGGCCGCCCCCGATCTGTACAGCTCGCATTGCGAGGCCGCCCTCGAGCAGCCGCTCGACGACGACCTGAAGCGCAGCGCCACTCTCACTCCCACTGCGACGGCGCGCTCTCTCTTCTTTTTGAGTCACATGGAGGCGGAGCAGGGCACGCTCGCCCTTCCCTTCAAGGAGGCGGAGCTTAAGCGGGAGCTGGAAGAGGACGCCCGCGCTGGGGAAGAGGCGCGGCTGGAAGACCCGCCTGCCCCAGAGAGGGCGGAGCCTGGCAGGCCCGAAGAAGAGCCCGACACTCCCGTGGCCCCAGCAGAGGAGGAAAACAAGGAAGTTAACGAGAAGGCGGATCCTGATGACGCCCCAGCGCCAGTGGAGGAGGCCGAACTCAAAGACACTTCACTTGAGGAGGAACAGGGGCCTGTGGACGCCCCATTTTCGCAAGAGGAAGTGGAACCCGCATCACCCCCAGGGGAGGAGCGCGGGGACGCCCAAAGCGTCGAGGGAGGTGTGACGGTGGAGGTCGCCCCCGCTCCGGAGGAAGTGAAAGTGACTCCCAGTTTGGTGCCTTTTTACCCGCTAGAGCTGAACCCGTTCGGGGAGGAGGAGGAGGAGCGGCCAGTGCCGGCGGCGCGCACCAAGAAAAGGGCGACGCTCAGCCCGCCCACCCCCAGCAACCCCTTTGAGGAGGAGGACGACGATGAGTGAGTAAGGAGCGCGCAATGGGCTCTAGGTTTTCTAAACGGCAGATCCGCAGGATCACGGCGAAGCCCGAGGCCCACGGCAGCAGTTCCTCGCTGTCCAGCCGCAAGAAGAAGCCGGCGCCGCCACCGCCGCCCTCACTGGGCGGGACCATGCGCAGTCGCAAAACCAAGCGGGCGCCGCTGCCGCCCACCGTGAGCCCCCGGCGGCTGATTGCCGCCCCTGAGATGTCGCCCGACGAGTTTCAGCCGCTGGAGGAGGACAAGAGCGCAGCCGGGCGGTGGAAGCGACGGAGGGCGGCGTCGCCGCCCCGGCCTGTGCCGCCCAAGCGGTCGGTGCCGCCCCTGCCGCTGCCCGAGATCAGGCGCGAGCTCGAGTCGATCGAGGTGCAGCAGCGAGGGCTGGAGAATCAGGGCGTCCGCCTGGAGCAGATCATCAGGGAGCGCAGCGAGGGCGGCAACCCGGACGACCGGGCGCCGCCCGACGTCGAGGACCTGATCCTGCAGCTGTTCGAGCTGGTCAACGAGAAAACSGAGCTGTTTCGGCGCCAGGCCGAGCTGATGTATCTGTATGTAGTGGCGGATGCGCCGCCTGGTTGGCCGCCCTAAATAGGCTSTTGGCTTGCAGGCGCCGCCAGCAGCGGCTGGAGGAGGAGCAGGCGGAGGTCGAGCACCACATCAGGTGCCTGATGGCGCAGCCCGAGTCCTCCAAGACCGACTACGACAAGGTGATGGAGGAGACGCTGATCGGGCGCCTGGTGGAGATCGTGGAAAAGCGCAACCGGATCATCGACTGCTTGGAGAGCGACCGGCAGCGCAACATCGACGAGGACGAGACCATCAGCAGCCAGCTCAGTCTGTACAACGCGCAGCGCGCCGCCCCCGAGGGCCCCAAGAAGAAAAAGAAGCTGAAGAAGCTCACCAAGCTGCTGGAGCCGTTCAGGCACAAAAAGGACAAACACTGAGGGGCTGCGCCCCCCACAAACACTTGAGTGCTACTGTTGTGATTCTTACTGTTAGTTTTATTGAATAAACACACTCGATAAGTCATGGATGGGTTAACGTCTTTTGAAGCCGTATTTCTTGCGCTCGTAGAACAGGTCGGTTTTGGAGCTGCCGAGGTTGACGATCTTGGGGCAGCCGTCGCGGTCCTTCTCCTGCACGGTGCACTCCTTGCAGTAGTAGGCGTCCGAGACGCCGGGGCCTCCGCAGATCACGCAGCGCCCCTGGTAGGAGCCGTAGTTGCACTCGTCGCAAATGCGCACCAGCGTGCACGGGCGCACGTACGAGTCGCAGATCACGCATTTGCCGTCGCACTTTTCGCACAGCCGCCCTATGGCCACCCCCGGCTGCTTCCTGCAGAAAATCAGGTCGGGATGGTGCTTCGCCATGTTCGCTCGCTTGTAAACAACTTTTGAGGTTAGTCGCCCGGTTGGTAGTGATGCGGTGTCAGTTGCTGATGCGCGGTTGCCGCGCGGAGCACCGCGCCCTTGTCGGGCTTTTTTGCCGATTTTCCCGGCGGATGGGGGGACGGAAATTTTCCCCGAAGTCTCCAGTGGTTGGAGGGGAGCTTTGCCCAATTTTCTGTGCTTTTTTATAATAATAAAAAAATATTTGAATTTCCTGCGCGCACCCGGCAACCGTGCTGTGGGCCCGTCAAAGTTCGGTTGTCACCGCCAGTGAGTTGAAAACTTTGGAACTTTCCAGGATCTGCCGGAAAAACTTCTCCAAGGACCAGAAGTGGACCTGAAACTGCAGCTCGATCGGGTGAGTTTTTGAACATTTGCGTAAAAGTTGTGTAAACAGTTGGATCAGCGATCAGTGACGAAGTGCTTGCCCCATTGGCAGAAACTGCGCTTTATTTACTCAGTTATCGGTCTACTAACGCTACTACAAAGGCGGGGCCTAGGGCGGGGCCTCCGCGGTGTCTGGGGCGACCTTCTGCAGCTGCTTCGCCTGCAGGATGAGCCGGAAGTAGTGGCAGGGCAGCAGGACGCAGCGCCCGTCCGGTTCCTCCGCGTCGATGAAAACGCCGCGCACCACCAGCGAGTTGGCGCAGCCCAGCAGGATGAGCAGCAGCAGCGAGACGCTCATGGCGCACCAGCAGCTCAGCGGCGGGTTGTCTGCAAGGGGGCGCACGCTCGTTAAGGGGCGAGGCGCGAAGCGCCGCATAGTTACCGGGCAGGAAGTAGAGGTCGAGCGCCATCCAGATGCCGCGCCACACATTAACGGTGCCCAGCAGCGCCACCACGACGAACGARTCGGCAAACAGCAGCCGGCCTGCGCCGGACAGCCGSTCGCAGACGCTGCGCACGAGCGGCTGCAGCAGGAAGACCAGCGCAGTGACGGCGTAGCCCAGCACCTGAAGAGGGGGGGGGGGCGAGCATTAATCCTCTGAGCCAGGGGCGTGCGCCCGCTACTCACCAGGCTGCTGCAGGCTGACGATGCAGGATCGTCGGGGAACAGCAGCAGGTCCAGCAGCATCCAGAGGCCGCGCCACACGAACACCACCAGCACGCCCACCACCAGCACGGAGAACAGGCAGTCGAGCAGGAAGAGGCAGAGGCGGCCGCCCACCTGCGGACAACCGGAGAAGATGAGCGGCAGCCGCGCCACTGGCCCCCAATTGGATTAGCCGGCTAATCGAGTGACTGTCACCCAAATTGGCCGCTTCCCCCCGGGGCTGATTGGGCTTGATTGATGGCCCGCAGGGGGCCTGCGGCCGGCCTTGAGCCGGTCTGCCGAAAAAACGCGACCTTCACCGTTCGGGGAATTCGCGAATTGGACCTGATTGGCCACGCCAATGGGGTCACAAAGGCTCGAAGGGCGGGCGCAAGCGCTTGGCGAGGTTAGGCGAGTTAGGGGTTTGGTTGGTACTTACGGGGGCGACTCGGAACATGGTGAGCACGTCGAAGTAGCCCTGCGCCAGGTCRTTGACGATGACGCAGGGCGGCGAGGCGACGTTGCGCAGCGCCCTCATAGCGACCAGCGCCACCAGCCCCACAGCGGACGTGACCATCAAGCTGCCGGCGTCGCGCTGCGTCTGCACCGTCAACAAGTCCCAAGGGCCGCGCCACCCGTTGACGCACACAAACGCGTAGCACACCGTGTAGAGGCGGCTGACCGCGTAGAAGCGCAGGCGGCCGCCGCCCGGGGTGAAGCGGTCCGCCAGGGCGCGCTGGGCGCCGATGAAGAGCACGTGGCCGACGAGGCCGAGGCCGCAGGAGAGGGCGGCGCTGAGCACTGGGCGGGCGGGCGCCACGTAGAGGTCCATCAGCGTCCAGACGCTGCGCCAGTAGGCGACCACGCAGGGGCAGACCACCAGCGCGGAGAAGAGCAAGTCGAGGGCGGTGAGGAGCGCGTCGCGCGTCGCCGGTCGCCCTTTGCGAGGAGCGGCGCTGCTGCCGCGCATAGTGGACGAGCGGGGACTGGGCGCATTGCCGCAGGAGACGCTCGGGGTACTGAGCGGTGGGGCGCAGGCAAGGCCAGCTCGGTTAATGGTGCATTTATTTATTGAGGGTCACGCTGAAGGCGACGCAGCTGCCGCCCGCTTCTTCGCCGTCGCGCCACACGCCGCGCACCAGCAGCGAGTTGGAGCAGCGCAGCGCCATCAGCAGCGCCAGCGCGCCCCCCTGGCACAGCCAGAGGCCCAGCGGCCCGCTGCCCGGCAGGAAGTGGCGGTCCAGCAGCGTCCAGAGGCCGCGCCACACGTTGACAGCCGCCCACACCGCCGCCAGCATGTAGGCGTNGGCCAGGAGGCGGCGCAGGCCGGCGGGCGCGTCGCACACCGCCTGCATGGTTGGCTGCAGCAGGAACAGCGCGGCGACCAGCGCGTAGCCCAACACCTGCAACTTGTCACCGTTAGTCTTAGTCCAGCCTCACTGTGTGGCCGGGCGCACCAGGCTGGCGCAGGGCGACAGCAGCAGTTCGGCGAGCAGCCACAGGCCGCGCCAGCCGACCACGCCCAAGTTGCCGACCACGCCCACTGAGAAGACGACGTCGGCCGCGTAGCGGGCGGCGCCGTCCGCCATGGCGGTGCGGAACATGTTCGGGAAGCGGAACATCGGGTCGCCCTCGTCCGCGCACAGCCCAAAGGGCGGCGAGTTCAGGTTGCGCAAGCAGCGCATGCCGCCCAGCAGGCCCAAGCAGGCGGCGAACAGCCCCAGGGCCACGCCCGCGTGCGCCACGCGCACCCTGCCCTCCTCCACCACGCCCAAGTGCTGGTCCAGCAGCATCCACACACCTGTCAAGGGGCGAAGAGCGGCAACAGTCAGGCCGGGCTTGCGCTGCGCAGACTCACCGCGCCACTGCACATTGGTGGCCAGATGCAGCACCAGGGTGTAGCTGCGCATGGCCAGGAACAGCAGCAGTCGGCCGAGGGGCGTGCGCTGCTCGCCCCCCTCCATCGCCAGCGCGTGGAACGCCTCCTGCGCGCCGCCGGCCACCACATGGATCAGCGTACCTGCAACAGGGGCAGTGGTTAGCGACGGTGGCTGTTGCCAGGCCACGCCCCTAGCAACCGATCACGCAGCTCTCCCACGGCGGGAAGTGGGCGGCGTGGACGTCCAGCAGCTCCCAAGTGCCGCGCCAGCCGGCCACCACCAGGGGCGTGACCAGGAGGGCGCACCACGCGACGTCCAGAGCACCCGAAGCACTGCACTGGCCGGCGCTCATCGCACTCACTGCACTGATTGGAAGCGGCGCAATTCAAGCGATAAACTCGGGGTTCAAGTGGGTGGGCACGTCACTGATTAGACACTAGACTAGAACACTACTACTCAGCTAAGCTACGGGGGGGGCGCCTACGGGGTCAGGCGGCCATCTCCAGGCTGCCCTGGGCGGCCGCGCCCTGCGCGGGGCTCAGCAGCACCTTCTCCAGCGCTATGACAGGCGACTCGTACATCAGCGTGAGCGCCAGGGCGAGCGCGTAGGCGAGCAGCAGATCGGCGGCCGTTTGGTACTCCTGTCAAACGACCCCCGCCAATTTAGGCAACCACTCAATCACCCGCCCACACTTACCACATTGAAGACACTGGCGTAGATCGGTGTTCGGATGGTTGCCGCCGTGTACATCTGGATGGCGCCATGCGAGATGTAGACGCAGTAGGTGAGTCGCGCCAGCACCACCAGCGGGCGCCAGCGCAGCATCGGCTCCACCCACGCTGCAAGCACCAGACACGCCCAGTGAAAATGCCCGCTGCAACGCCAAGTGACTTACGGCCACGCCCAGAGCTGATGGCCAGCACCATCCACGCAACGCAGACGCTCCAGGCAAAGTGGTAGAGGGCGGCGTAGAGGGCGGCCAGCAGGGGCGGCACCTCGAGCAAATAGAACACAAAGCCGGTGTATAAGGAGGCCACCATGATGGGGGCGCAGAGCGCCCAACCTGCAACTGCGCATTACAACAACGCCCAAGCCCCGCCTACCTGCCACTTGCCGATGCGCACCGCCGCCTTCGGCAGTTTGGCGCTGCCCTCCTTCATGGCGTGCTTGATGTAGCCGGTCAGCACGCCCACTAGATAGGAGCTGCCGCGCATGTGCCCCGGAATGTACAGGGTCTTGAAGGTGTCGTGCGCCACCGGATCCTTTAGAACCCTGCGCAACAGTTAAACGGCCAGTTTTCCCCCCACACAACAATCCCTCACTTGATATACAGCATAAACATGGCGTCCATCTTGTTGACGTAGACGATGGCGAACACCACCAGCATGGAGGCGAGGATGAGCACGCCCACCACTGCCACGCCCACCTTGGGGCGCTTCCACAGCAGCCACGCCAGCAGGGGCGTGAACAGGAAGAAGTTCATGTCGCACGTGATGTACCAGCTTTGGAACATGCACTGAAAGACAGTTGACAGTGACAGAAAATGCGGGTCATCCCCGCGCGTAACCTACAATTTGGTCAGTGTTGACGTAGTTGTTGATGTAGAGTAGATTGGCCCACCAGCTGGCCAGGCAGCGTTGCTGTTCCAAGCCGACGCGCTGTTGCCAGAACGGGCCGCTGCCCAGCTTGACCAACAGGGTGCAGTAGAAGGCCAGCACCACGGCGTAGGTGGGGGTCATGCGCACGACGCGATGCAGATAGACCGCGCCCATCTGGACACGCCCCTTCTTGCGCTGCAGCTCGCCCAGCATCAAGTAGGTGGCCAGAAAGCCCGACAGGGTGAAGAACGTTTCGACTAGAATGGGGCCGTTCAGCAGCAGCGTGGTCTCGAACTGCGTGTACAGCTGGGGAGTTTTTGCGGTTTAATCGGGCGTGGCGCGTGTGAGGTTGGCCCCACCTTTTCCACGTCCTTGGGGTTGACCATTGGCGAGCCGAACTCGAACATGATGCGGTGCAGCAGCACAATCAGCAGCATCGAGTAGACGCGCATGCCTGCCAAGCAGTCCAGCCCGTCCAGGTTGCGCCCCTGCGCCGTCAGTTTGCGCACGTTGCTCGGCAGCGAGAAGCACAGCGCCAGCTCGTGGCGCTTGCCCATCAGGCGCCAATGGCGGTTGGAGTCGCGCGTCAGCGCCATCTCGTAGCCACTAGCGAGCAGCACTGTTGCCAGTGAGGCGCCCAGGAAGACGCTGTCAAAGCGATGACAATGGACGATGTCAAGTTGCTGTCAGCTTGATGGGGGACTCACATGAAGGCCACGTCGCCGGCAGTGTAGCGGGTGGGCGTGGCCGCTTGGCAGCTGCCCACGTCGACTGTCACCTGGAAGTCACTGCGGTTGTTCAAGATGGCGGCGTTGTGCGTGAGCACGCTGCGCAGCTCGCGATAATCGCAGGACGACGGCAGGCAAAACGCAAAATACAGCTCGTTTCGGCTGCCTTTGGTTTTGTCTTGCGCGTACACCTGCCGAGATTGAGGTTAGTTGGCCGGCCTCTGACACCTGTCACGGCTTACCGCCAGTTTGGCCCACATGGAGTCGTTGGACGCGCGCAAATAGTCCGATTCGTAGTAGCTGCTGGCGTGCTCCAGACTGGTGCCGGCTGGTGGCGCCACCGTGAACTGCGCCAGACAGTATTGGCCGCGCAGCGGCACTGGGCGTGGCACCCGGATCTCCATGCATTCGTCAAAGTTGCCCAAGTCGTGCGACGACCCGTAGAGGAAGCCGCTGGGCATCTTGCCCGAAGCGTCAAACACTGCGTAAAAGTGGGGTTAAGTGGGCGGGGCACGAGTGAAACAGGGGGCGTGGCTTGCTCACTTTCCGTGGCCCAAATGCGGAACTGCGTCAGCTCGTGCGCGTAGAACCGACTGTCGTTGCGGCACGTTTCGTCCGCGCTGTTCACCGTGGGGATGTAAATCTCCAGCAAGCGGCGCTCGTCGAAGACGTCCGAAAGCCCGCCGAAGGGGCTGCGCTGCGGGGCGCAGCCCCCCCAAAGGGCGGCCATTATCAGCGCGAAGGCGACCCGGATCATGGTCAGCGACTGCAGCCGGCCCGTTTCCTGCAGGGCTTTTATACGGGCGCAAGCGAAAGTCAGTGTCAGGGCTATTTATCGATAATTTTATTTATTTATTTATTCATTTGCAGCGGGAAAAAAACCCGACGAATCACTGCAATTTCAATGGGCAGGGCGTGTAATTGGGCTTTTTTCAACGATTGTTTATAACAATGTTATGCAACAATCGGCAGTAATTTGCTCATTAGCGACGCTGGCTGCACACGGTAAGGACCGCGATGCTGACGTCACCGACGCACGCCCTAGCCCCTGTTCGAGCGTGCAGCTGGATCCAGGGGATTTTTTTAGCAAAAATCTGCCAAAATTTTCCAGGTATGAAAATGTGTTTTGACTGGTTTTTTAATGGGGAGTTGCATTATTTTTATTTATTTTTTTTGAACAGAACAACTGGGCGTTGCAAGAGCGGCGTTGCCACAGCCGCCCTCAAAAAATGACAGTCCTGTAGCAATTTGACTGACGTGTGTGAAATTTCCGTGTAATGTTTGGGAAAATATTGCCAATTTCGCCGTTCGCCAAGTGGGGCCCCAGCGGGGCGCAGCTACGCAAATGAAGCTCGTCCATCGAGACATCGACAAGGGCCAGGGGTGAGTGGCGGCCACTTGTAGGTTAGATCCAAGGGGGCCCCCCTTGAGTGACAGCTGTCGTTTCCAGGGCAGTCACCCTGGTGCCGGAGGAGCCCGAGGACATGTGGCACGCCTACAACCTGATCGCCGAGGGCGATTCGGTGAAAAGCTCCACGATCCGCAAAGTGCAAATCGAGTCGGCCACCGGATCGTCCACGTCCAGCAGAGTCCGCACGACGCTCACCATCACAGTGGAGACCATCGACTTTGACACGCAGGCCTGCATGCTGCGGCTCAAGGGGCGCAACATCGAGGAGAACCAGCATGTCAAGGTGCGTATGAGGGTGGACGAGCCGCTGAAACTGACCCTGCAGTTGCAGATGGGCGCCTACCACACGCTCGACCTGGAGCTGAACCGCAAGTTCAGCCTGCGCAAGGTGGAGTGGGACTCCATAGCGCTGGAGCGCATCGAGCAGGCCTGCGACCCCACCAAGTCGGCGGACGTGGCCGCCGTCATCATGCAAGAGGGGCTGGCCCATGTGTGTCTCATCACCTCGAGCATGACCCTCATCAGGGCCAAGATCGACGTCACCATCCCGCGCAAGCGCAAGGGGCTGGTGCAGCAGCACGAAAAGGTCAGCGCCAAAGCCCCGCCCCTTTCCGTCTAACCGTCGCCTTTGCAGGGCCTGGCCAAGTTCTACGAGCAGGTGATGCAGGCGATTCTGCGCCACGTCAACTTCGATGTGGTCAAGTGTGTGCTGGTGGCGTCGCCCGGCTTCGTGCGCGACCAGTTCTTCGACTACATGCTGCAGGCGGCCGTCAAGACCGACAACAAACTGCTGCTGGACAACAAGACGAAGTTCATGCTGGTGCACGCCTCCTCCGGCTTCAAGCACTCGCTGAAGGAGGTGCTGCAGGACGCAGCCGTGATGAGCAAAATCTCCGACACCAAGGCGGCCAGCGAGGTGAAGGCGCTGCAGCAGTTCTACGCCGTGCTGCAGGCGGAGCCGGCCAAGGCCTTCTACGGGAAGGGGCACGTGCAGCGCGCCAACGAGGCGCAGGCCATCGAGAGCCTGCTGATCTCCGACAGGCTGTTCAGGTGCGTCCAGAGTGGGGGTAGTGATGGGGTTTTAACGCCGTTTGCGCAGGTGCGACGACGTCAAGCAGCGCAAGGAGTACGTGGCGTTGGTGGATGCGGTGCGCGAGGCTGGCGGGGAGGTGCGCATGTTCTCCAGCATGCATCTGTCGGGCGAGCGTAAGTGCTGTCTCTGTTCGGCGCCGGGCGGCCCCCTAACTCCCTCTCGCTTGCTTTTAGAGCTGGAGCAGCTGACGGGCATCGCCGCCATTCTGCGCTTCCCCATGCCCGAGCTGGAGGAGGAGGAGGAGGACGAGGCGGAGCAGGAGTAGCCAGAGAGGTTGGTACTAACTAGTTAATTTATTGGCGTGTAAAGTGTAAAACAATAAAAGTGGGTCAGTCCTGCTGCGGCTGCTGCTGCTGCTGGTCGTGCAGGCGCCTTTTCTTGCGCAACAGCCAGATCTCCTTGGCCCGCTTGGTCTTGCCCTCCATCATGCTCTTGTACAGTTTCTTGTGCTTCTTCTTCACCATCTTCTCCCTGAGCCGGTACTCCTGGCGCTCCTGTCTGCTCGCCTCCCACGGCACCTCCTTGTGCACCTCGCCCACGCTCACCGACAGCTTCCCGCTGGGGGCGGGCGCCTCGTCGGCGGGCGCCGCCTCCGGCAGGCCCTGCGCGATGGCCGCCTGGTCCTTCTGGTGCTGCGCCTCCAGCGCCTCCGGGTCGTAGAGGCGGCGCTCCTCGGGCGGCACGTACTGCTGGTCGCGCGCCGCGTCGATGAACGGCGACAGATGGGGCGGCAGCACCTCGCCCATGAAGTACTGGTGGACGGGGAGCAGCTCGCCCTTGTTGACGCTGTCGAAGACCCACTGGGGCTGGACGTAGTAGCGGGAGATGTACTTTTTGTCGATTGAGGGCCGGTCGACGATCTGGTGCGTGATGGACTCGTCGCTCTCGTCGAACGTCGCCCCTGAAAGCGGTGGTTGGGTGATTGGGGCCCCATTGGGGCAGTGCCCCGCGGTACTTACCGACGAACAGGGCGCTGTCCCAGGAGACCTCGCCCCCGAAGCTGCGCACCACGAACACGAAGGGCTCGCGCGGCACCTCGCGGTTGATGAAGAACTTGAGGCCCCTGAAGAGGTTCTGGAGGCGCTGCAGCCGCTCGGCGTCCTCCAGGCCGGCGTCGGGGTCCTCGTCCAGGGGGGCGCGGGCGCCCAGCATGGGCAGGCTGAGGGCGCAGACCCGCTCCGCCACGAAGGCCTCCTCGTCCACCAGCGCGCGCTCGCTCTCGGTCTGCGCCCGCGTGAAGCGCGGCGGGTACTGCAGGCCCAGCTCGTGGTACAGCCGGAAGTTGGTGAAGCCGAGCAGCACGTTGTAGAACTCCACGAAGGTGGACATGATCTTGAAGTCCACCTCGGCCTTCTGCTGGGGCTCGAAGGCGAAGTGGTGGGGCACGATCCAGGTGACCGTTTCGCCCCTGAGCTGCGCCTGGTAGTAGTAGCCCTTGATCGAGATGAAGACCTTGCGGAGGGCGCGCGCCTCGATGACGGCGTGCAGGAACTCCATGGTGAGGCGCCTGCAGAGGGCGGACTGGTCGCGGGGCACGTGCGCCAGCGACGGGAACGTGCTGAACAGGAAGCAGAGCGTCAGACAGTCGTCCAAGTCGCGCAGCGCGTCCGCGAACGTCGGGTAGCGCTCCTTCACGATGTGGTCGAGCTTCAGCGTCGGGTGGCTGTTGAGGTGCTGGCGAAGCCTCTCGAAGTCCTTGATGGCTCGCGCGCGCCCCACCTTCTTGTTGAAGATCTTGTAGTCGCGCAGCGTCCAGATGATCGGCTCGTGCAGCAGGAACTGCACATCTTTCACGTGGTAGAGCGTCTTGATGCCGCTGTGCCCCTTTTGGGCGCGCTTGCGGTTGCGGGGCTCGCGCGGGTAGATGCCCTTGAGGATGCACAGGCGCCGGAAGTCGTTCAGCGACAGCTGCAGCTTCTTGAGCGCCGCCTTGCGCGTCATGAACTGCGCCCCCTCGCCGGTCGCGTACTGTGGGGCAAACAGCGCCGGATTAGCGGCCCGACCAGCAGCCGGCCCAGGCAGGACTTACCTTCTTTTTGCGTTGCGCCACCATTGTGTTTCGCTGTTTGCAGCCAACACCAACAACAGCATGCGATTGAAGTGGGGTTAGTTGTTGCGCGGATGACAGATCTTCTCCTATTCTTCTTCAACCCAACGCACCGGGCTGTCACATCATCATCCAAAATGGCGACGATAAGCGTGAAGTTTTGCGGGCCTATTTTCGTGTTTTTTAAATCTGGTTAAGATTATTTATCCTCAGCCATTATTCGTTGGCAACCGGTTTTTTGGGGAAAACCACAATTTTATTTTTTTTAGCCAAAACGGCACAATAGCAGCAATGCACGGTTGCCGGCGTTGCTTTCAAAATGGCGACGATAAGCGTGAAGTTTTCCGGGCCTATTTTCGTGATTTTTAAATCTGGTTAAGATTATTTATCCTCAGCCATTATTCGTTGGCAACCGGTTTTTTTGAGGAAAAGTGCAATTTTATTTTTTTCAGCCAAAACGGCACAATAGCAGCAATGCACGGTTGCCGGCGTTTCTTTCAAAATGGCGACGACAAGCGTGAATTTTTTCGGTCCTATTTTCGTGTTTTTTAAATCTGGTTAAGATTATTTATCCTCAGCCATTATTCGTTGGCAACCGGTTTTTCTGGGGAAAACCACAATTTTATTTTTTTTAGCCAAAACGGCACAATAGCAGCAATGCACGGTTGCCGGCGTTGCTTTCAAAATGGCGACGATAAGTGTGAATTGTTCGTTAAGGATGGCAAATTGAAAGGGCGTCGAGTTAATAAACAAATAAATTTATTTGGCAATTCGCTCATCGTGCACGGCCCCCCGGGGCGGGGCCCTTTGGTGCTATCACAAAATCCGGCAGGGGCGGGGCCGCGCCGCGCCCTCTATGTACAACCTTTGGAGATCAGAAATGGGGCTGCGCCCCCCCCACACTCAAACGGCCACGATCTTGCTGGGGTCGACTTTGACGCGAATGAAGAGGACGTCGTCGCGCAGAAAGTGGCGCCGCCTGAGGGTGTCGTGCGACACGAACTTGGGGAAGCCGAAGCCGAGCGAGTCGGGCTCTTTGCTCGGCCGCTGGAAGTTCTTCCAGGTGGGGTCCGGGATGAAGCTCTCGACAATGTTGCAAGCTTTCTCCGGGGTGCCGCACTGGTCGAACAGCGTGAACGAGACGGAGTGCGCGAACGGCCAGCGCAACAGCGCGTCGTACTCGCCGGGCAGGATTTTGATGTAGACCGATAGATGGCTGTCCTCGCCGGCGCCGTTGCCATTCGGGAAGAGGGACGCCTGCAGCCGATAGCCGTACTGGCTGG